CTTGAGCCCCGGGCCCCGGAGAGCGCTCTGTGAGGGTTGTTGTAGTACCCAAAGCACCCCCTGCTGCCGTGCTGCCGTACTACCCGGATCGCTAAGTCCCCGTCGAGGACGGCGAGGGACTACGCGCGCGTTCCGGACTGGTCCGGCAGCGGCGAGTCGGTGCCGAGGGCTCTCTAGCAGTGCGGTGGCCGGCGCGGCCAGCACACTGGGGGCCGAAGGGCAAGGGCCGCCACTTGCACAGATTGCGGCGTGGAGTCAGGAGAGCGGGGGGAGCCAAACCCTGTCGCCGGCGAAACAGCGAGCACATACATCACGGGGAACACTGCGGCGCCATCCTCGCCGCCATCATATTCGCCCACATCCTCACCTAAACGTCCCCCGCCCCGCCGCGCCCCGCCCCGCACGTTTTGCTCGGCGTTTTTACCACCGCCGCGCCGTTTCGCGCGCCGCCGAGCCCCCTTCCCACGGAGCAGAATGGTATGGAGGATCAGCTATGCACGAAAACCGAACTACCTTTCGCGGCGGCAGTTGGTGCTTGCTCCGGCCGCCACCGCGCGGCGCTCGCGTCGTTATGGCTCTGCCCCGGCCGCTGGGCGCCTCTGCCGGCCACTGTGAGGCATGGGCCGGGGACGGTTTTTCGGCTGTAAGTCCTAAACCGTTCAAATTAAATAGGTAGAGTAAGCGAGGCGATTGTAGGTCTCAGTCTAAGCTACAATCCGCTCGCTTAGTATATCCCTCTAACTGCAGCGGCCTAGGAGCTAGGACTGAAAAACCATCTCCCGCCGGCGCCGGCAGCCCCAGGCCCCAGCCCCTGTCTATGCTTTTCTCTAGAGATAAAGAAAAACATTATACAATCCATTAATTTCTAATTAAATTGCATGATTGTGGTTCAATATTGTTCAGCTAAAATATGTTTAGGAAATGGTGTCATTACAATTGCTGGAATGCACATTGTTTTAGAAATCGAGTAGTCATGATATTTGACGGAATTTACTTTATGATGCCTGGTTTAAAAGCTTAAGTCAAAATGAAGACTTTTGAAACAAATCAGTACAGTTGTCGTGACTTAAAACTGAAATCATTAAAGATGAAGTCAGAAGGTGACTTTACGTTTGCTTTTCAAGTATTGCCTGATAGCACATGAAGCGTCAATGATTCTTTATTTTTTTATTTTTCAAAAAATCTGAGTATAATGCTACTTTATGCTTTCAAGCACAGTTATTAAATTGAAGCCAATTTTATTAGGTTCCCACAGTTTTCTCGCTTGCCAAAGCTTTTGAGCCAGGCATTACAAATTAAGTTACGTCAATTACTATACACTGTGGCAAAAAGGTACGGAAAATCCTGTTAATTTTTTTGCCAGGATTCTCCGTAGCCCTCTTATCAATATTCTCCGTAGGCTCTTACAGTATTCTCCGTAGGGCCGCACAGTATTCTCTGTAAATCCGCACAGTCTTCTCCGTAGGACCTCGAAGACTGTATAGTCCTACGGAGATCACTGTGCGGTCCTACGGAGAATACTGTGCGGTCCTACAGAAAATACTATAAGAGCCTACGGAGAATATTGATAAGGGGCCTACGGAGAATTACCACAAGCTGTTTACAGAATTTTCCGTAGCTTTTTGCCACAGTGTAGGTTCTTGATTTCTAAATCGAAAAGGCTATGCAGCCACTGTTATGGCCTTATGTCCTGATAACAATTAAACTATGCAATACCGAGACGCAATTATGCAGTTTTATTGAAAGCAACTGGATTGTTTTATATTTTTGTGAATTTTGAAATTGTAGTATGGACCATGGGGCCTGGAGCTGCCGGCGGGAGATGGTTTTTTAGTCCTAGCTCCTAGGCCGCTGCAGTTAGAGGGGTATACTAAGCGAGCGGATTGTAGCTTAGACTGAGACCTACAATCGCCTCGCTTACTCTACCCATTCAATTTGAACGGTTTAGGACTTACAGCCGAAAAACCGTCCCCGGCCCATGCCTCACAGTGGCCGGCAGAGGCGCCCAGCGGCCGGGGCAGAGCCATAACGACGCGAGCGCCGCGCGGTGGCGGCCGGAGCAAGCACCAACTGCCGCCGCGAAAGGTAGTTCGCCGGCCCTATGCCGCTGGGCCTGATCCGTTGCTCCATACCATTCTGCTCCGTGCCCCTTCCTCTCGCGAGCACTAAAAGCAACGATCCGGGACGCCGCGATCCGCGCCGCGATCCGCGCCGCGGCACAGCGAGATTCGCACAAAAATACTGCGCAAAAAATAGCGGAGTCGGCGTTGGCAGTGCAGTGCGCCATTCCGCGGCGTGCAGGTCCTTGTGTGAGAGGGCGCAGTGACCGGCAGGCGCGACCCGGCTCGGCACGGCGCGGCGCGGACCGGGCCTCACGCAGCCACCGGGCAAATCATCTAAACACGTCGTTAGGCCCGCCAGGCCCGCCCGCGGGACTTCAAAGGAGGCCGCCCCGCCCCGCCGGGCCGCGCCTCGCGGGTGAAAAATAAGTCTTTATCGCGTCGTGACGTCAAACGTCTTCCAATTTTCCCTCTCTACGACGGCGTCCTGGGTCCTGGGCCGGCCGGCGGGGCAGTCCTTCCCACAGCCCGCCCCGCCCTTCACGCGGCATGACTCACGGCCCGTATGGCCCTAAGTACCGGGGGCCAGAGGGCACGCTCACTTACGGGGGCGTGGTACTGGCGAGGTACTGGCGTGGTACTGGCGTGGTACTGGCGTGGTACTGGCGTGGCGTGGCCACGGGAAGGCAAGGCCTGGCAAGGCCGCGCCGCGGACGGGGCGTTTAAACACCGCGCCAAACCCCGACCGAGCAGCAGGCAGTGTCTCTCTCTCTCTCGCACCCCGACGGGAGGCCCCAGGAGTGCGAGCGAGGCAGAGCACCGGATTCACGGAGTCAGCGTTCGGTTCGGACTGAGCGGCGAGGTGTTTCCGCACGCCGTAACTCGCGGGTAAGTGTCTGCAGGCCGATGAGCCGAGGCAGGCGAAGGCAGGCGAAGGCAGCAGCCCGCCGCAACAGGCCGGCAGGCAATGCAACGGCATGGAACGGAATGCGCGTCCCTCGGTGTGCAACAATGCAGTGCTCCGGCAATGTTGCTGCAACGCGATGATTCGCGCATTTTTCGTTCGAAACGATATGCGGCCCGCCGTGCCGAACGCGGCCATGCGGAACCAGAGTCCGCCGCCGCGGCGTTCCTGGCTGACCAAACTTGGCAGCATGCGTTGATATGCAACATCCACTGCCGCCCGCATCAAAAATGCAACGCGATTCAATATGTAGACGGCATGCGCGGCGCAAACACGGAAAAATTGTTTGGCAGCTGGCCGGTTGGACCGCAGGAAGGGAAGGGACCGAGGATGGACTCTGGGAGCGTGAGTTCGCGCCGAGGGGCGACGGGGCGGGCTAGCAGAGCTGTGCCCAGCACGGCGAGCAGGGCGAGCAGGACCCAACCGAACCGAACCGCCACACGGAGCTGCTGGCTTCCCGGATTCCAGATACACTCGGATAATAATCATGGTATCGGCGGGTTGAGGTGTGTGCATGCGTGCGTGCCTGTGTGTGTGTGTAACCCACGACCGGCAGGTACAAATTACGTTTTATTGAAGATGGTCAGATTCGTCAGAATTAATTGGGCAAAGCCAGCAAAGCCCCTCCTACCTGTTGCCAGCCGGCCAAACGGAACGCCGTGTCCCTACAGCCCTTGAGGCCTTCAAGGCCTCCACGCACACACCCCCTGGAAGCCTTGGGCGCGGACGCAGCCTCCGCCCCCGCGCACGCCCCCGCATCCGCCGCCCCGCCCCGCCCCCGGCCGCATCACTCAGTTAGCCTGCCTCAAAAGTGGCGGCCGGGGCGGCGAGTCGCTGCAAGTGCCCGAGTTGGTCTGAACAGCATGCTCCGTCTCTCTCGCTCCCTTGCAGAGCGCGCCATGAGTGCGACAGAGACAGAGCGACGAGAGGCTCGGCGCTTCGGAGCGAGCCGCGCAGGCCGTGCAGGCGAGAGGACCTTTCCTTTTCCTCCAGGTAATGACTCCCGTTAGTGGGGGCGAGTGGCGCTGAGGACGAACCGCCCCACCCGCTCCTAATGATGTTTGTCTGCAGGACGCCCCGCCGAGGCCCGAGGCCCCCGCCACGCCATGTTTCCGCGCTCGTTCCTTGTTTGCAGTTGATTTTTGCGGACCGTTTTGCGCGGACGACGCGCGCCGAGCGAGCACACTTGGGGCCCGTGTGCCGCGGCCAGTCAGCCGCGGCGGCGAGCTCGTCTCGTCACGACGGCCACCTATTACGCCGCGCTCTTCGGCGGCTTCGGCCTGCCCGCCGACAACACCAAGGCCTCCATCGAGGCACTGCGCGGCCCGGAATATGCAAAAGGCCACGCCGCTCGCTCATCCAACACATTAACTTTATTTTCCGCGGGGCACGCGGGAGGGGAGGGAAGAGAGGGGGCAGGGCAGCTCTGGCGCCCCGCTGCCCCCGGGGCCGCGCGCCGCGCCTGACGATAGTTTATAACTTCACCAGCAGCTTACACACCGTGGGGGGCGCCACGCCGCCCAACGCCGCCACTGCCGCCAGCACGGCCAACCAGGGCAGCGTAAACTTGCACACGATTTGCGTAATAGAAAATCAATGGGCGGCCGAACGGCGGCGTGGGGCGGCGACCCGTGAGTTATGGGCAGTGAGCGTGAGGACGGCCTCCCTCGCCTTCTTCTCGGCCTTCTGGCGGGAGCAACGAGGCCTGCACGCTGGCGGTGGCGGTGCTGTTCAAGTTCAAGGTGCGGAGCGCCTGGTCGGCGGCAACGCGCGCACCTGAGTGGCGGAAGGGAGGCCCTCCTGCCGGGCGGCGTCGTCCGCGTCCGTTGGGTTGCCTGCGGCCCAGGCGCCGGCCCGGCCCGGCCTGGCCGTGCTGGTTGGGCTGCCGATCCGCTGCCCGGCAGGCGCTACCGGCGCACTAGTGCTGTGGACGACCGACGACCAGACCACCTGGCGGACTGAAGAAGGAAGCTTACCTGCTGAGGAGACCCGGCGAGAAACGAGTGGCAGTACTGCAGGCTGAGCTGCCCGCGCGGCTCCCTGGCCAGGAAGCTGAACTGTGCGTGCAGCGGCTCACACGTGGCGTAGGATATCCGGCGCAGCGCGTGCGCCATCAAGACCCCCTGCAACAAGAAGACGCGTGGCGTTGCAGAGCGGCAGGGCGGCACAAGCAATGCGCGGGCACTCCGCACTCCGCGCGACGGCGGGGCGGGGAGGCAGTATCACGACATCGCAGTCCTCATAAACTTTGCACGCCCCAAAGTGCCTCGTTATGGTTTATGGACGAGATGCGAGCGGCGCGGGCAGCGCTGCAGTGCACTGCACACAGACGGCCGACCGGCCGCCGGGGACAGCAGCACGCCGCCGGCACCGACGCCGGCAGTGCGATCGGAACACGAGACCGCGCTTCGCTGCACTTGGTTGACATCGCACTGCGCCTGCAAATAATTAGCAACATCACGTCGCGGCATCATTTTTTTGGGCGGCTCTGTCCGACTGTCACCACACTGTCGCCGTGTTGTTGTGATGTTGGATGCAGCCGTGGCGGCGGTGGGGACTGCAGGAGGGAACGACAGCGGAAGGCGGGGGCTGCGGGGGCTGGCGGGGGCGGGGGAAGCGCGGCGCAGTGTGCGCGTCGTCGCTCGATCGGAAACGTGTTCTCGCATAGAGATGGCATCCAGCCCGCGTCACCGCGTCAGGCAAGTGATTCGATTTCAGCGGAAAAACAGCGCCATCGCGGCGTGCGTGCGCGCGTGCGTCTGTGTGCGTGAGCGGCGTGTTTACAGAGGTGGTGCCTGGCGGCGCCGATGCGATATGGATGTGCCGCGGACGCAGAACGGGCGAACCTGCGCGCGACGTATCTCATTCAAATATCAGCGCCGCGCTTCGCACACACTGTAAAGGGGCGTTCGTCGCGTGCTTCCTCGCTGTGCTCGTCTCTTTTCGTCACTTCCACGGTCCGCCCTGTGTGCTTGCCTTCCCCTACATCTTCCCTTGGCAGGCTCCTTGCGACGACGTCGCGCCAAACCGGCGACACGAGGCCCTGGTCACGGCAGACGATGAAGACTTTGAATCGTGCCGCACGTCTAGAAGACCGGCGGCGCACAACAGTGGGCCGGAAGACCGGCGGAGGCGGCAAAAGCCCCGAACGCGTTTTGAGCTCCAGAGTCGCTAAATGTGACTCGAACCGAACGTGTGACCCCACCAACGGAATTCTCTCCAAACGAGGAATCCGTTGGTCGGGTCACACGGTCGGTTCGAGTCACATTTGGAGCTGGAGCTCAAAACACGTCTAGAATTTTGGCCGTCAACACCGGTCTTCTGGTCCACTGTGTGTGGTGATACTCGTATTGCGCTGGACGTGGAGAGGGACTCAACGGGGTGGAGGGAGACAAGACCCAAACACAAAACTGGAACGAGGTCCGTGAGCAGCAGAAGCAGCTTGCCAACCTGGAGAGGGCGCACTGCCACTGCCACTGCGCACCGAAATACGAGGAGGGGCGCGGAGGGCGAAAAAAACAGATTATACCTCGGCAGACTCCAGGACCGCGGGGGGGGGGGGGGGGGGGGGGGGGGGGGAGGCGAGGCAGTCTGCACGACCGCACCGCAGTCAGTCCCGCAGAGTGGCTGCGACTAATAAGCCACCTGTAATGACTCCGAGAGGGGAGGGGAGGGGAGAGGTGCTGCTGGGGTGCAACAGGAGGGGAGGGGAAGGGAGGGGAAGGGAGGGGAGGGGCGCTGCCAATACAGCGGCCGCCCATTAGTGTCAAACAAGAGCGTCTCCGTCCTCGTCGCCGCCGCGCCCCGCCACTGCAAGAGGCGCACGCCCCCCGCCGGGCCGCCCTCCCCCCGTCCCGTAGCCCCGGGCCGGCCCGAGGGGATGGCAAAATAAGAGAGGAATTCTCCCGGGAGAATTAAGAAGCTGCGCGGCGGCAGAGCGACGAGCAGCAGCGAGAAGCAGCCTGGCCCCGGCGCCTCGGCCTGGCCGACGCTATGGCGCAAGCCACGGCGGCCGTGGAGTACAGTACAGGCAGCAGAACAGGGGTCTCGGAGAGCAGTGCGACCGACCTCACTCTGCCCATGCGAGACGCCCACGGAGTGTGAGGGAGACAGGCCGACTCACTCTGCGCCGCGCTGCGCGACCGCGCCGGATGGAGGAGAGCGCGGCAAGGCGCCCAACGTGCACCTCGGACACTTGGACGCCGGGAAGGCCAAAGGCGCCACAGACCAGCCACGGGGAGAGGACCGCAGCGCGCGCAGCGGGGAGACCGGACACCCGGCAGCGGCAGGTGGGGGCGGCAGGCCGAGACGCATAGTGGTCGCCGTGAAGGAGCGGCGGCCTCGCTGCTGCACTGTGGGGAAGGGGAAGGTCCCCAATTATGCGCGATCGACAGAATTGCTTCCTCCCCGCCAGTCCTGCGCTGTTTGTGATTCCACGGCCAGGACGCTTATCACTCGGTCCTTTGATCTGGCTGCCGCGCCGTGCCGCGCCGTGCCGACGAGGACGGCGCGAAAGAGCTTCCCCCGATCGGCGGCCGGCGACCAATCAGAAAACGAAACAAGAAAAACACGGCCACCTTTTTCGGCGTGACGTGGAATAACGATGGCAGGCGCGGCGTGGCGCTGGCATGCCGGCCATTGATCCCGTCAGACCGTCAGACCGTGGGGCTGGCGGGGCTGGCGGGCTGGCAGGGCTGGCGGGGCTGGCGGGGCTGGCGGGCCTGGCGGGCCTGGCAGGGCTGGCGGGGCTGGCAGGGCTGGCGGGGCTGGCGGGGCTGGCGGGCTGGCGGGGCTGGCGGGCCTGGCAGGGCTGGCGGGGCTGGCAGGGCTGGCAGGGCTGGCGGGCTGGCGGGGCTGGCGGGGCTGGCAGGGCTGGCGGGGCTGACGGGGCTGGCGGGCTGGCGGGGCTGGCGGGGCTGGTAGGGCTGGCAGGGCTGGCGGGGCTGGCGGGGCTGGCGGGGCTGGCAGGGCTGGCGGGGCTGACGGGGCTGGCGGGGCTGACGGGGCTGGCAGGGCTTCCGCGGCGGCGATTCGTCGATCGAGAAGCGAAATCCTCGCTCTGTCTCTCTCGCACCGAGACGGCGAGACGGCACTCCCCGTGAGGGCGAGAGAGACAGAGCGAAAAGACAAACAGCGTGCCGGCCTGGCTAGGCCGTTCAACGCCCCTGAATAAAATGAAAAGTGCCGGCGTCGTCGCCCGATGCCCGGCGGCGGCCGTCCGCCCCGCGTCCGCGCTGCGTCCGCCGTCCCCAGGGAGCCTCGACGCTTTAGGGGAAGGCCGGCGACGAAACAGCCCGCTAATCCGCGCCGAGCTTCACCCAATGCCCGGGTTTGTGCAGGGCAGGGCGGCAGGCCGACGCCGACCAGGGCCTCGTCGCCCTGCCTCGCTCCGCCTCCGCCACAGTGTAGCACACCGAGTCCCACAGCCCGCCATACGGAGGACAAACTTTACGCCGTCGACGAGCACGGCGGAGTCGGCCGTAAAAAACATCCCCGCGATCATAGTGGCCAATCCCCTCCCCCTCCCCAGCGAGGCGCCACGAGGCTACACAGGCGCCACGGACCACACTCGCAACTCGGGCCGGAAGTGAGGTCCACTTGCGGTGCCGAATGGCCCAAGAAGCGGAGTCGGCGCGGCGGGGCGGGGCGCGGCGGGGCGGGGCGCGCACGACGCCCAGCTCGGCGAGGAGGGCTGGCAGGAGGAGCAGAAGGCCGCGACAGAGTTGCATGTAGATACCCCCGGACAAAGGGAGCGAGAGAGAGAGAGAGAGAGAGAGAGAGAGAGAGAGAGAGAGAGAGAGAGAGAGAGAGAAAAGAGAGAGAGAGAGAGCGGCCCGGGAAGGAAGGGGCGTGGCGTGTGGATGTAGTAGTGCAGTAGTCTGCGTCCGGCCGACAGGCCGACACACTGGAACCGCCAAGCAGCGAAGCAGCAAGACGCCGAGCAGCGCGGAGCAGCCGATGGAACGGAATGGACCGCCAGACCAACCAGATAAATCAGCCTCCTGAGCCATGCAAAAAAAAAAATACGAAAAAAATGCAAAAACTGCAAAAGAAGCACAAAAAATTAATAAAACGTATTCGAATTAATGCCTGTGTTGCACCCCAACAAGAAAATGATCGGCCTGCGTGGAGAGGCAGACTGCACTCACCTGCCCGTCCGGGCTGCATACTTTGATGCCGGCCACCGAAATGACTAGCAGCACGGACTTGGCGCTCGAGTTTGCCTGCAACAAACCAACAACGCGTGCGTTAGCTTCCCAACGAGACCACATTATGGATGAGCAGGGCAGGCAGGGCGCGCTCGCCCAAACTCCCCCACGCACAAAAAAATCGCGACTTGAAAAAAAGGCGTAGTCAACAAGCGCGCTGTAATATTTCCGCGGTAAGGAAGGCCTCCAAACCGGTCTGCTGATTGATTCCGGGAGTCGTTTCCGCCGCTCTGTCTCTCTCGCGCCCACACGGAACGCCCCGGGAGTGCGACAGAGACAGAGCGACGCAAACGGCTCTCGGAATGAGTCTGCTGCCGCCCTGCTGGCTAAGGGGGCGCGTCGGAATTCAAATTTATTCCCACGGCCCATGCCGGGAGGGGGTGGGGGAGGAGGGGAGAAGTGGGTGGGTACCGGCGCTGCCGGGCGAGTGTTTTGCCGCCGGGGGCGAGTAAGTTTGACGGCGGAACAATGGTGTGGCGGGGGCGGGGCGCCTTTTGGGGGCGGCGCGGCGGCGCGGCGGCACTCCACCCCGGCGGCGGCGGCGTTCTTCGGCGTCGGAGTTGTTCGGCAATCGCGCGGCGGGCCGAGGCGGCCGAGGCGACAGGGAATCACGCGCGCTAAAGTGCGTCGGGGGCGGCGGGGGCGGCGAGCGTTCGAGGGGCATTACGGCGTTAGCACCTTGGCGAAGGGGAAGGCCTGCAGCCCTTGTTACGAGCCGCCCGCTCCGCTCCGGCCCGGCGGGAGTGTGAAGTGAGTTTACGTCGTTGCATTCACGCGCAGAGCCGCTTGATGTCGCCGGCGAGGCAGTCTGCGGGTCACCGGCCCACCAGGGCCATTCCGAATGGCTCTGTCTCTCTCGCACCTCCGAGTCTCCGAGGGACGCCCTGGGGACGCCGCAGAGTCCGCGCGACGAGGGCATTGTCCAGCCTGCGGGCGACCTGATGCGGCTCGGCCTCGGACACCTCGAGGACGCGCTGCCCGGAGTGCCGACGGCATGCCGACCTCGCGACGACGCCATGGACGGCGCGGTCTGGCACCGGGGCGTAACAGCCCCTACGTCCCCATCGTAAACGAGGAGACCGATACGGTCGCACATAGCAGGCCGATTCCGAGCTGCGCTTCGTCGCGCTGTCTCTCTCGCACCCCCACGGCCCCACGCACGGCCCCACGGCCCACGCCGAGTGCGAGAGAGACAGAGCGACGCGGCATGCGCGCGGCACCGCCGCTTTGCGTGCGAGTCGCACAGGCGCGGCGAGTGCAGGGTGGCGGCATTCTTGGCCTGCAGCAGGGAGAGCGGGCTGGGAGCGGAAACCTCTTCAAGACCCCCTCCGCGCCGAGCAGCGTCGCGCCGCGTCGCGCCGCCCCCGACAACCCCGCGACCCACTCAGCCGCCAGCCCCGCCAGCCGCCTGGAGTTGACACTCACCCTACTCATAACACTTACACACCTAGCACAGCAGCGCGCGGCAACGCGCAGCAGCGCGGCGGGAAAAAGAGGGCCGTCACTAGCAGGGGGAAGGGGCGAAGGGGCGCCAGAGGAGGGGGGGGGAGGCCCAAGATTATCATAAAAGAAAGAAAAAGTCCGCAGGGTGTGGCAGATTGTCGCGACAAGCGAGTTTCGCCCTTCCCCTTCCCCTGGCGAGCCCTCCGAGGCGCCCTGAGAGTAAGCAGGCCCTAATAGACTGGCAAACTCTCGCGCTGCGCGGGGCGGGGCGGCGCGGGGCGGCGCGGGCCGAGGGAGTGCCGCTGACGGTCGTTTGGTAATTTACTTTACGGGCGCACGGCCTCGTTTTTCGTGTGAGGTGAGCGCGCTATATTATCGCCATCATGGGGCCCTGATAAGGACGAGGGACGACGAGGAGGCGACTCCGACGCCGCCAGGACGCCGCCAGGGCACAGAACCGCGTCGGTCGACAGGACGGCGCTATGCTGTACAGGGACACACACACACACACACACACACACACACACACACACACACACACACACACACACACACTTCTCTGCGCTCGTATCGATAAAGTCGACATTTACCTGCCTTTGTCCTCCGCCCCCTCCACACTAACGAATTTTCAAAGCGCATTGCGATCTCTCGCTCCCCCTCCCTGTCTGGATCAGCCCTCTCGCTCCCTCTCGCTGGGCTGGGCGGCTGGGCAGCACGGGGCCGTCCAGTCGCCACCGCCGCCGACAGTAATTCCCTTTCGGCGGGGATATGATTAGCCGCAGAGGTATTCATCGCGGCGCGGGGCGGGGAAGGGAGGGGGCGCTCGATATTCTCTTGATTGCGTGGGCCGAGTGGGCATTGCCGGCATTGCCGAGGCCAATGCCAGTGCATCGCGCCGCTCACTCCACCGCGGCACCACAAAGGGTGGCCAGGCTCGCCGGACCGCGCCGGACCGAGGCACAGTGGGCCAGAAGACCGGTGGGCCGGCCAAAACTCTGGACGCGTTTTGAGCCCCAGAGTCGCCAAATGGGACTCGAACCGCACGTGTGACCCCACCAGTGGTCCTCGTTCGGAGAGCAATCCATTGGAGGGGTCACACGTCCGTTCCGAGTCCCATTCAGCGACTCTGAAGCTTAAAACGCGTCCAGAATTTTGACCGCCTTCTCCGGTCTTCTGGCCCACTGTGCGGGGCCACCGTAGCCTACACTGTCGTCACGGCGGCACCGCACCGCAAAAGGGTCCATGCTGCTGGGCCCCGTCCTGTGACGAGACGAGGCTGCTTTGAAACACCGCGAGGTGGGCGGCGAGGTCCACGCCACCGCAAGCTACACCCACATTCGCGTCACGGCCCGGATTTGTCTCCAGGTAACGACGTTACAATTGTCGGACGCGGCGCGCGCTGCCCCCAGTCGCCGCCACACTGCTCGCCAGGGCGGTGGACTCGCGCAGCGACAAAAAAAGAGGACATTAAAGTGCAGAGCGAGATTTGAAGAGTCTGCGTTCCGAATGGATACTCCCGGCTGCCTGAACACAAAATGAAAAGAACCGAAAGCGGTGGGGGAGGCATCTGCCCGCACCAGTGGCCATACATGAGCGCGGCGCGTGCGTATTTGCAGAGCCCTTCTTTTCGCCATGAGTAAACATGGGGCTAATTGGGGCGAAGGCGAAGAGGGAACGACCTCATAAATGACTGAAAGGAAGGGAGGCGAAAGCGCAAAAAGCGAGGACAGAACGTGGCGGCCGTCCTCGGCCCGTCCTCGGCCCGTCCTCGGCCCGTCCTCGGCCCGTCCTCGGCCCGTCCTCGGCCCGTCCTCAGCCCGTCCTCGGGCCGTCCTCGGCCCGTCCTCGGCCCGTCCTCGGCCCAGTCCTCGGCCCAGTCCTCGGCCCGTCCTCGGCCCGTCCTCGGCCCGTCCTCGGCCCGTCCTCGGCCCAGTCCTCAGCCCGTCCTCGGCCCGTCCTCGGCCCGTCCTCGGCCCGTCCTCGGCCCGTCCTCGGCCCAGTCCTCGGCCCGTCCTCGGCCCGTCCTCGCGGCACCGTGCCGCACGACACTGCGTGCTTTTTAGCAGTGCGCTGTGTTGCTTTCAATCTAATGGCGGACGCGAGGAAGGGGAAGAAGGACCAGACAGTATCCGTCTCCATTTCCAATTCTATTACGCCATTCTTTCTGCGACTTGCTCACAGCTGCGCCGCTGCGCCCTCTCCCGCCCCCTCCCCGGAGTGGCTAATGCCGATAGGAAAACATTGTCGCCGGAAGGAAGGCCCCTCTCACCAGAATTACTTCCCCTTCGACACTACTCAAAAAGATAAACAAGGCAAAAAATGGGATGAAACGGGCGGGATGATTCTCGGAGACGCTTCGGCCGCCGCTTGGAGCAGGCAGCGGTAATGGTAATGGGCGGCACGGCGGCACGGCGGCACGGCGGCAAGGCGCCTTACGAGCGCGGCGTAGGCAACACGCTCCACGCGCGCGTCACGGCGCGGCCTACCCCGCACGGCGCTGAGGCTCCGTCACTCGCTGCTGCGCCGTTACAGCTTTCGGGCTTTCGAGCTCTCGAATCGAACACGTGGCGGTGCCGATCGACTCCTCGTCGCAGTCCGATGCGTGTGTCGTGTTCCTGAGTGGTGACAGATCTCGTCCTCAGAACGCGCTCAAAGCAGAGGCGTTGTCCGCCTCAACTGCGCGCCGCCGCAACCCACTGAGCCAGCCAGTCCGAATCGAATACGGCAGAAAGCCGTTCGAATGAAACTCCGCGGCGCACAGTGGGCCAGAAGACCGGTGGAGGCGGTCAAAACTCTAGACTCGTTTCGAGCTCCAGAATCGCTAAATGGGACTCGAACTGAACGTTTGACCCCACCAATGGATTGCTCTCTGGAAGAGGAATCCATTGGTGGGGTCACTCGTTCGGTTCGAGTCCCATTTAGGGACTCTGGAGCTCGGAACACGTCTACGCTTTTGGCCGCCGCCACCGGTCTCCTGGCCCACTGTGCAGTGGATTAGAAGTCGCGGCCGGGTGGGGTCGACGAGCACCGATGCGATGAGCGCCGTCGTCGGCAGCGAGGTGGCGGGGCGGGGCGGGGGCAGGGGGTCTCGCCCCGCCCTCCCCTCGGCCCTCCCTCACTAAGCTGCTAATTTGGCTCATACGGCGGATCCGAATGGGACACGCAGAGCGTGTATAAATGAATGAATGAGGGGTGGAGGGGGAAGCCGGATGAGTTCGGCGACCTGTCTGGCGCGACGCTCGACTCCCACCGCGCGGCTCCGCACGGACGGCACAAAAGGGGACGGAGTTTGAGTCGCGTCGTCCCCGGTCCTGCCTGCCAGCCTGCCTGCCAGGCCGCTCGCGAGCGCGCGGCAAGCGTGAGCCGAGCCGAGCCGGATGACAGAGCTCGGCCGGAACACGGAGCCGCACGGAGGGCGGGCCTAGGCCTAGGCCTCCTGCCGAGCCGGGCCGGACGCGGACCCCGCAAGACATCCCTCTTTATGGGATTCCTGGCCTGGATTGGCGCACGCCTTGCACGGGATGAAGTGAGGGGACCTCGGGAGGGCGCAAGCACTCCGCGCGTGTGTGTGT